TGCGAATTAAAGGGCTCCCAGAGGCTAATGAAGAGAACCTCCCCATCATACTGCAGGAGCTGTTCAACCTTCTCCTTCAGAGAGACCCCTCCACTACCATCTTATTTGACAGGGCGCACAGAGCGCTTAAAGCCAGAGGCATGTCTACTGATACCCCTCGAGATGTAATTTGCCGTCTCCATTATTATGGAGTAAAAGAAGAGATACTTGGGGAATTACGAAAAACATCACAGCCTCTTTTATTCCATGAAGCCCAGATCCAAATATTCCCAGATCTCTCCTGGATGACGCTACAAGCAAGGCGAACCCTCAAACCGTTAACAGATCTCCTCCGATCCAGGAACATTAAGTACAGATGGGGATTCCCTTTCTCCCTGATGGCTACTCACAACGGAATAACAGCTTCAGTGACTATAGCAGCAGATATTGCAACCTTCACGTCAGCCTTGGAATTACCAGAGGTTCATATTCCTGACTGGTATGGGCCGGTTCCCAACCAGCCTAACTTCCAACGGTCCCAGAAGGCTAGAGGGCAAACCCCGTCTAAACGGCGCCGGAACGATTATTCTTTGACGCAAAGAAATATGCAATCAACATTGGATGACCTACTTCAACTGTAGCTGTATATAAGAATAGATCTACAAGCAACTCAGATTCGCAACTCAGCTACTTAAATCCCCTGGATCTACCTGTATGACAGGTGATAGACACGTATTCCACTTGGAAGAAAAGGCTTGCTGGATAAGACATTGTCCCCACAACATCGAGGCTTGGCCTCCTCCTAGGACGCGGTCAGTGACTTTCTTCAATGCTATCATATACTCCGGCAATCCTCAACTCATGGACTCTCCACACTCTCTGGAAGAACGTTCAAACATTGAGACTCGCTGCTGACAAGACCGGACGGGAGATTCCCGGAGATGGTAACTTCCGATATTTTAACACCAAGGACAGTCAGGGAGTGTGGAACCACAGGGTTATCTCCGGGGCCTTGCTCTAGGGCCCTGGTGCTAGCCCTCTGGACCGGGTCCCGATTGCTCTCCACCCCGGCTTTTCATTTTTCGTGTTTTATTATTCCTTGATACCCTACAACTTATAAAGCTCTTCTCTGTCTTTAGGACCCTTCTCGAAAGAGTAACCATATAGGAAGAATTTATGTTATACATAATAACAAAAAAAAAAAATTCTCATTATTTACCCCTCTTGATATGCTCTGTATGGGTCCTCCCTCCTGATAGGTTTTGTAGGGGTTGAATTGGGAGGAGAGATTGGAGAAGTAGCTTAAGCCTCTTATGTTAGTGCACACCTGAGTTACCAATTGAGAATCCGCTATTTAGGAGGATTTACCTCTTGGTCCAGATTGCGTAATTGCTCTATAACTACTAAGTGCTACAACCAGACAGAGATAACTGTTATACTAGAGTCCCTAACCAACTCATTACTCGTTTCCCGATTTTCACACTTTTTGACTACTCTTCCAGTAGGATTGCCCACTTCCCTTCCAAGGCGTGCAAGACCTTGCTATAACACCACCCCCAACCATATTGTTTAGACACCTGAAGCTGAGCCTTCGACCCCAGCGGTGCCCTTTTCCTTCCCTGGTAGTGAGTATTCTCCAGGGTTTACCACCGACAGAAGGGGCCCTTTCAATACGCCACTAGACTCATACTCAATTGCTAGCTCCAGGTGACTTTCAAGGTTTTGTAAATAGTTTGTTTGGTTTGTTTGATTTTGATTTTCATTTATTGTTTTTTCTTATCTTTTATTGTACCTATTTAATTTAGGTCACTGTGTAACCCTTAATTTTGCTACTCACCCACTCTAACCGTGGGTAGAATCACGCCGAGGCGGTACACGTATACATTACTACCTTAAGATTCACTTACAACAATTTCCCTCTATACACACTATATCTTGGGTGCTGTGCCATGGCTTCCATCCGTATTGTCACGTTGAATGCTAGGGGATTAAACTCACCACATAAGCGTGGCCTCGCTCTGCGAGAGCTTCATCATCTGAAAGCAGATGTTGCGTTCCTTCAAGAAACGCACTTTAAAGCAGACGCAGCTCCGCCCCTACGCAACAATCATTATCCGATAGGCTACTTCAGTAACTTTGGGGACTCCAAGTCCAAGGGGGTAGCAATTCTGGTCGGGGCTAGGACGCCTTTTACATACACATCTCACCATTCCTTTGCAGACGGAAGGCTACTAATAGTTATAGGCAAAATTGGCAGCACTGTGGTGAAATTCGCCAATGTATATCTTCCTAATACGAACCAACACCATTACTTGTGCAAGTACCTCAACATTCTGGAGAAGGTTGGAGAGGGGATTATCATAGTGGGAGGGGACCTAAACATTTCCTTAGATTCAGACTTAGATACAACCTCCACTTACACAAAATACAATGCTACGTCCAGGGCTAAAATCACACAACTCCTTGATAGACATAATTTGTTAGATAGCTGGCGGGTGACGCACCCATCATCCCGAGATTACTCATACTTTTCCTCGGTCAAACAGACCTATTCGAGAATAGATATGATTTTCTTGCACCACAGATACCTTCATCTCATCCAAAATTGCACATACGGGCCTATCACGTGGTCTGACCACGGACCTTTAACCATGACAATTTCAATTCCAAATCTATCCCCCACACGTGCGCAATGGAAGTTCAATGATACACTCCTTAATGACCCCGCAAACATTACCCAATTACAGGAAAATCTAACCAACTACTTTGCAGAGAATAACACACTAGCAGTTTCACCCACTCAAATTTGGGAGGCACACAAAGCCGTACTTAGGGGACACATTATAGCTTTGGCCTCTAAACATAAAAAAGCCAGAGAACATCAAATAGTCACTCTCACTGAGGAGATTAGACACTTAGAAGCTGCACATAAAAAAACCATGTCACTAGAGAACTATAAACAATTATTAGATAAACGATCCGCACTCCAATCCCTGCTTAACGCGAAAATTCAAAGATTTCTCCTACTCTCCAAACATAAATTCTACACTCGGGGCGGAAAATGTGGACGATTGCTAGCTAGAGCAATTCAGAAAGAAAAACAACAAACATACATCACCCAAATAAAAACTTCCAGAGATACACCAACCCATCTTCTACCAGAAATAATACAGGAGTTTCACTCTTACTACTCGTCCCTATACAACCTCCAACCCCAGCCACCCGACCCAAACGATGTACACAAATTTTTAACAGAGAGACTAAAACATACAATCCCACCCAATGCTAGACAAATCCTAGATGAGCCAATTTCCCCAGAAGAAGTGGCTTGGGCCATAAAACACTTACCCGTAGGAAAAAGTCCAGGACCAGATGGATTCACATCCAAATACTTTAAAACATTCTCATCGACTCTGATCAAACCCTTTCTTGCTGCGTTTAATTCCTTGTCTCAGGGACACAGTATGCCACGTGATACGTTAGAAGCCCATATTACTCTCATTCCCAAACCAGGTAAAGATCCCATGGAATGTAGTAGCTATCGTCCTATTTCCTTGATCAATGTAGACTTAAAGATTTTTACTAAGATACTTGCCACACGACTAAGGCCACACCTGCAGGGATTAGTCCACCCAGACCAGGCCGGATTTGTGCCAGGCAGAGAGGCCAAAAATAATACAACAAAACTCTTGAATATTATATACCATGCTAATAAACAAACATCACAATGCTTGGCCCTCACTATTGACGCTGAGAAAGCGTTTGACAGGGTTGACTGGTCCCTGATATCGGCCACAGTACAAGCCATGGGATTTGGTCCAAACTGGCAAAAATGGCTGTCTGCTCTCTACTCTAAACCTGGAGCAAAGATAAGGGTAAATGGACAACTCTCTAATACAGTACATATCTCTAATGGTACAAGGCAAGGGTGTCCATTATCTCCCCTCCTTTTTATCTTAACAATGGAGCCTTTCTTGCAAGGCATTAGAGATAACACACATATCCAAGGGATACAAATAGCTGGGCAGGAATACAAAATTTCCGCTTTTGCGGACGACCTCCTCTTCACTTTGAGAAACCCAGAAACATCTTTGCCACATTTAATGCAAGAAATAGATTTCTATAGACAAGTGTCCAATTACAAGGTAAACGTCAGCAAAAGTGAGATACTCCAACTCAATATCTCCAATGATACTAAGCTCATACTCCAACAGAAATATCATTTTCATTGGCCTCCATCCTCAGTGAAATATCTGGGAGTACATCTATCGGCTTCCTTAGATAAAATATACGACATAAACTTCCCCCCATTATTGGCTACTGTTACCAAAGATCTCAAAAACTGGGATAAACCTCACTTTTCATGGCTTTGTAGGGTCCATATTTTAAAAATGGCTATTCTGCCCAGATTTCTTTATCTTTTACAAACACTGCCCATAAACATACCACGTACCTTTTTTACGAAGGCTAAACAAATTTTTACCTCTTATTTATGGGCGGGTAAACGCCATAGATTACCTCATTCAACCCTCACGAGACACAAATCGCAAGGAGGTTTGGGGGTCCCAGATATCAAATGCTACCGTAATGCCATACTTTTAGCCTGTGTTTATGACTGGATAGACCCCCAAACCCAAAAACAATGGACGCAGATAGAAACCACAAGTTTCACAACAAAACCAGAAACTATACCATGGCACGAGCCCAATACAAATATACTTCATCCAGGCCATGAAGACCACCCCACTATCACTCCCACCTTAAAAGAATGGCACTGACTCAGACAAAATAAATATATCTCCCCCCATCCATCTCCACTCTTACCGATTACGGGGAACCCCAACTTTCCTCCAGGCTTGCAGCCAGAAGCATTTCAAGTCTTTGAAAACCTACAGGGTCACCTACATTTAAATGATGTAATTAATGAAAATGGTATTCTTCCCCTAACTGCAATTGTACGCACCCCTACACATTCTATAATGCAAAAATTTAGATATGCACAACTTTCGCACTATATCCAGATGCAGCCAGATCTGAGGCGGGGATGTAGACCCTTAACTACATTTGAGTCTCTAGCCACGTCTAGAACCTTACAAAAGAAACACATAACCACTTTCTATAACTTATTACAAGCACAAGACAACGAACAAATTCCGACATACACCAAAGCGTGGGAGAACGACTTGGGGATTACTTTAACCCAGTCAGAGTGGGGCAAAATATTCACCAACATTTCTAAGTCCTCCATCAATACTACTATACAAGAGAGCAACTATAAACGAATCTCTAGATGGCACCTAGCCCCGACCAGATCCTATAGATTTTCCCCCAACACCTCCAGAGTTTGTTGGAGATGCACAACCGAAATAGGATCTCCGGGTCATCTATGGTGGACGTGCATCATTATACAAAACTATTGGGAAAAAATATGCTCCCTCATCAATATCATCACGGGCTATGAGTTACCCACCTCACCTGAAACTCTTGTTTTTATGCTCTATCCCTCTCCACTAGCGAAATCCACTCGAGTTTTAATAAACCACATGCTCACAGCGGCAAATGGTTTAATCCCTACCAAATGGAAACAGAGTAACCCTCCAACTATTAGAGAATGGTTAGCAAAGGTAGAAGCCATACGACAAATGGAAGAACTCTCCCACTCCTTAAATGGCACATATGATAAATATGTTTTTGCATGGTCACCATGGGATAAATTTATCAAAGATTACAAACCAGATAATATGTCCACGCCTACATAGAGAACAGACCTTCTAGACCTCACGCTAGACGAGCTTAGGGGATACTTAACTAAGTTTTGTTTTCTCCTACTCATCGCTAATCAATATTCACTAATACTAGGAAATGGTTTTAAATTAACTTCTAATTATAGAAAGGAGTGAAGCTGTAACACGTTACATTCCTGCAAAACCAGGGTGGACATTATTGTTAGGCACCATGGATATTCATTTGCCATATCATATACTTAGACCCAGCAATCTACAACTAACAATGTATGCCTATACTTCAAAATATGTGCCATGCAACTAACATTCTACTGATTGTAAGGTTTAAGCTCCAAATTTAGGCAGTATAATGTATTAGCCTCACTAAGTTTCAACGCTATCTCTTACCCTTGAAATAATATACTTCTCATTACGATGATACAGAAATTGTTTATTATACCATGTTCATTTTACAATGTTGTATGTACCGAAAATGTTACATTTACATTTCTCTGTCACCGTTACGCTTGTACTGTAACATTTAATTTGTTGGATTCTTCATTGTGAAACAATAAAAAGATATAAACAAAAAAAAAATAAAGCAAGAGATGCACGCTCAGGACTTTTTAGGTGAATAAAGAAGGATTTATTCCAATAAGTGATACATCAAAAAAATGACAGACGTTTCGACCCGTTCGGGTCTTCCTCAAGATCAATGTACCCATGTAGAAAAGTTATATATATAAGAAATATCAAAGTGTACTCACCAATAGTAACAGAACTCCTGACTCCCTCTGTGTCAACCCGGAAGTGAAACCTGCAGTCACGTAACGTGCCGTAATGGGAGCATGGTGACGTGTTATCGGTTGCTAAGATACCGATAAACAAATAAAGTTACATGATCAGTATTCAATCCGTGTTATGTATAAAGCGTGAAATGAGATAGAGATAGCAGAGCAAACCTCTGTCCTCAATTAGAGACTGTGCTTGATAAGTGATATATGTGAGAAAAAGTGAATAAATCATCTGGAATGTGATAAGTATTGTGAAAACTATATAATAGTGAGTAATCAAATCCCAGCACATTCTAAGTGAGGAAGAAAAGAGAAGAAAGATGTGCATATGTTAAAACATTTCAGATATAATGGAAGAATAATGTAATTTATGTATAGCATAATATAGATATTTGATTGAAAGAAAAGTAAAGCATACTGCTATTAGGGCTCATTATAGGATTACATGAGTTTAGCAAAAAAGACCACAGAGAGACAGTATCTCGAGCAGATCTAGAAACAAATATATACTTTTTTCATAGGGGGATATATGAAAACTCAATGTAATCACAATGAATATATGTATATAAACACTAAGGGAGGGATTCAAAAAGTACCTCAGTTATATTCAGACAAGGAAAGCAAAGGTATGTATCTCAAAAATAGATGAGACAGATAGATTATAGCAAAACTATTAATGGAAAGATATTATATCCATGACTATAGGAATTATCTCTGATCTACAGGAATGGCAAACTCAACAACACAGAAATTTAAAGTAAATGAGAATTTTTTATTTTTTAATAAAAAATAATAAAGAAATAAAAAATGAAAAAATAAATAAAAAATGAAATAAATTTCAAAGACCTATTTAAAGGTACCCAAATAACTGAATTATAAGAACATAGAAAACACAATATGTTCGTTAAGTCCTTTCGGTGTCACCGTATCTAGTCGATGAATCCATTGTGCCTCCCGTTGTAGTAACATCTTAGATCTGTCGCCTCCTCTGGATGTCAGTGGAATATGGTCAATGGCAATAAATCGTAAAGTTGAAAGTCTATGTTCCATTTGTAAAAAATGTTTGGCGACTGGTTTGTCACTATGTTGATCCCTGAATACTGTAGTTATAGTGGAACGGTGTCCCCTTATGCGATCTCTCAAGGTCAGGTCTGTTTTGCCGACATAGGAAAGTCCACAGGGGCATGTGATCATATATATCACATGGTCAGTGGTACAAGTAATACAGTGTGGTATTTTGATCCTTTGGTCATTATGTGGATGCGCAAAATTCGTACCACTGACCATGTGGCTACAAGTCACACTGCATTTGTAGCATCCCTTCTTGGTGATCAATGTAGGTTTACGATAACAGAGTACCGGGTTACTTTTTACCAGTAAATCTTTCAAATTCTTATTTCTTCTGTAACTAATACAAGGTGTATCCAAAAATGTATTGGGTAATGTTCTATCTGATCGTAGTATTTCCCAGTGTTTGTAAATAGATTGTCTTATTTTAGATGTACCAGTATGGAAGGTCATTGGAAGGTAGATTTTAGGTTTTTTAGGTTCCTTGTCAGTTTTACCGTTACATCTTTCCTGATTCCATATCTCAAGGGCTTTGCTCTGTGCTATTTCGAGAACATGTGGTTGGTAGCCTCGCATTCGAAATCTTTCCCACATCTCTTTTAATTGAACTTTTCGTTTTTCTGTTTCCGTGTTGTATCTCAGTGTCCTTAGGAATTGTGATATTGGCAGAGATTTATTGAATTGTTGCGGGTGAAAACTTTAAGCTGAGAGAAGGGTGTTACGGTCAGTACTCTTTCGATAAAGAGTGAATTCGAATTGGTTCTTTTCTTAAAGATGGTAACATCCAAAAATTGAATGGACTGATGGTCATATTTATGACTCTGGATAATAGGTATTGGTAGTAAATTGATCTCCGTTATCATATGTTCCAACTCCTCAGTTGTGCCCGTCCAAATAAGAAAGAGATCGTCAACAAAACAATAGTAATGTTTAATATATCGTCCAAATTTTGAAAGTATGTGGGTGCGCTCAAAGGGATACATAAAGGCATTGGCATAAGATGGTGCCATTGCCACCCCCATCTCAATTCCAGATAGTTGGAGGAAGAATTGGTTCTCAAATTTGAAGTAGTTGCATGTCAATGCAATAGTAAGAAACTCTAGAAGATATTCGATAGGTTCAGTTATTTGGTTATCTTTAAATAGGTCTTTGAAATTTATTTCATTTTTTATTTTTTCATTTTTTTCATTTTTTATTTTTATATATATACATACTAAAAGATTTTTTTTGAAACAAGATATTTTGACCATTACTATTAAATTCATTTTTTTTAATTTTTTTTTTTGTTTTTCTTATATTCCATTTAAGCATGTTCTATATGTGTGAACCTGTATATAATACCGATGATTTGTTATGTTCCTAAATGTTTCCTTGTATCTGTAATGATTTCAAGAGGCACAGTTTAAATTGTATTTCTGGGTAAATTGTGGAAGTGCACGCTCTGGCTTGCAGGCATCAAAGCCTGTTCTACATGATAAACTATGCATTATTTGCTATTTATACATCGGCTAGCTGGGAGCTATAGAATTTCCTATTATTAAAAGGCAATGTATCATGATGTTTTATAGGAACACACTTTAGCATTATTTTGATCTTACAAATAAATGACATTGATGGTGGAAATGAATGATTTTAGTGAATTGATTTGCTAAGCATTAATATGTAGTGATCTAAAATCACGTTATAAAATGTAATATAAGAAAAATGAAAAAAATAGCAGAGTTGCTTCTATAGACTAATTTTGCATTTTATACAGTTTATCTGCACTTTTCCATTATCTATAGCAGGGATATTTAAAAAAATAGCATGCTGCACATAATGGAATACAACTATGCAAGCTACCTGTGTTTTTTTCCACGCAAAATCTCCTGAGAGTTGCTCTTTTTTTATGAGTTGTAAATCCTTGAATGAACCAGATCTAAAGAACAGAGATAGACATCATTACTCTGTTCTAACTTAGTGAAATTCAATTTTCTTTTATGCACAGCTAAGTAGAGGCCTTTTAACATGATCATACAAAGTTTTCCTAAACTTTTTTTGTGCATTGTTACAGAGTTAGACAGACTGAAAAGAGACATATGTACACCATGTTCAGTCTTTGCAAAAATCCAGTTTGAAGCAATTTTTAAAAAAAGTAGGAAACATTCTTTCTCGATCTCAGAATGGCAGTCAGATATCTCCTTGGGTCAAGAAGCTGTTCAAAAATTACATAACAATACCATATGGGCCGTAGCAATTGCTGATTTGACGCTATGCATTGTTACCTAGCTTGTTGTCTATAACAATTCCCAAATTCTTCTTGTATGTTATCCCTAAATCACTACTAATTGCTTGTGCATTCTTTACACTGAAGTGTATAACTTTGCAATTAAATTTCATCTGCCATTTGACTGCCCAGTCCCCTGAGCTATCTAAATCCCTCTGCAGCAAAGTAATATCCTGCTCACATTCTATAACGTTACATAGTTTTGTGTCATCTGCAAATATGAAAACTTGACTTTTAATGCCTATTTCAAGATCATTTATAAATATGTTAAATAGAAGTGGTCCAAGAACAGAACTGGAAAGGACACCACTTACCACTTTTTTCTTCAGCTTGAAAATTTACCATTAATGACAACTGTAATGAACGCTGGTATTTTGTATACTCATTCGTTCGTATGCTCCCGAACTGCTATGGACTTAGTGATTATAGTCCACAGCCCGGAGCACTGATTCGTACATTCCCAAGAATCAAAGTGCAGCATAAAGAAATCCAGCGGTTCATCAGTCATATACCCAAACATCAGCATAATTATCAGAATAATTTTATTCAGGCCAGATGGCCAGCTTTTATGCAATTCAGGAGTACAGTATACACACCAACAAAAACTCCCACAACAGGCCCACGAAATTCTGAGTCACCGTGACTCAACATAAAATAAAAAATATTAAAAATACATAATAATACACACAAAACATATAGGAACCCCCATAAATGTTATATTGCTGGAGAGCCCGGATCTGAGAGCTACCGGGGTAAAGTTTTGACCGACCGCTCATGAGTTCCATAGTTTCTGTGGTAGCGGTCAATTTCAGGAGTTCCAAACCGAACAAAACAACGAATGGTTCCCCTGGCTCACAGGTAGTGTTTGTTTGCCTTGTTCATGCGAACAAACCTACCGAAGAGTGCTC